CCCCTACCGGCCTCAAGGGGAAGGTCGTGGTTCCTGAGACTGCCCCCGTTGAGGGAGCTTCTCAGACCAAGCTGCTCGACCAGTTCGGTGGCAAGTGGGACGAGTTCAAGTTCGCCCCTATCCGCGAAAGCCAGGTCTCTCGTGCCATGACCAGACGTTACTTCGAGGACCTGGACAAGTACGCTGAGAGTGACGTTGTCATTGTTGGTGCTGGTTCCTGTGGTCTGAGCACTGCGTACGTCCTGGCCAAGGCTCGTCCGGACCTGAAGATTGCTATCGTCGAGGCCAGCGTCTCTCCTGGTCAGTAGTCCATGATGGATGACCTTGCGCTTAGCTTTGCAGAACTAACTTGCAATAGGTGGCGGTGCTTGGTTGGGTGGCCAACTCTTTTCTGCTATGGTGATGCGCCGTCCCGCGGAAGTCTTCTTGAACGAGCTGGGTGTTCCTTACGAAGAGGACGCAAACCCCAACTACGTTGTCGTCAAGCACGCCTCGCTGTTCACCTCGACTCTCATGTCGAAGGTTCTCTCCTTCCCCAATGTCAAGCTCTTCAATGCTACCGCCGTTGAGGACTTGATCACCCGTCCGACCGAGAATGGCAACCCCCAGATTGCTGGTGTTGTCGTCAACTGGACGCTGGTCACCCTCCACCACGATGATCACTCCTGCATGGACCCCAACACTATCAACGCTCCTGTCATCATTAGTACCACTGGCCACGATGGCCCATTCGGCGCCTTCTGTGCGAAGCGATTGGTATCCATGGGCAGCGTCGACAAGCTGGGTGGCATGCGTGGTCTCGACATGAACTCGGCCGAGGATGCCATCGTCAAGAACACCCGTGAGGTTACCAAGGGCTTGATCATCGGCGGTATGGAGCTGTCTGAGATCGATGGCTTTAACCGCATGGGCCCCACCTTCGGTGCCATGGTTCTCAGTGGTGTCAAGGCTGCCGAGGAGGCCTTGAAGGTGTTCGACGAGCGTCAGCGCGAGTGTGCTGAGTAAATGGCTTACTCCCTGTAAGGGTTGAGTGCATAGCTCAAATTGTCTTACGGCTTTTTGATGACAGGGGAATGATGATTATGTGATAATTCTGAGACTTGAATGAAACTCGTTAACTCGTATTCCAAATGCATATGTAAATGGCCGTGTCCAGGATGTAACGGCGGGGCATTCTAAAGTAAATATGTGTAACAAGAAAGACAGTGTAATACATACAAACAAAAGATAAAAAGACATGGACCGCGGCTCATCGTCCACCCATGATAGTCATATTCATTCCGACTTCTTCCCAGATCCACCACTTTTCTCGATCAATTCTTTTGCATTCCGCACCTCCCATTCGAATTCTTTAAGTGCGCGCAGCTCGCTTGACATGAACAGCCCGCCTATCAAACCATCCAAAATCCCAGCTCCGAAGCTCAGAGTACTGACTAAAACCAAGACAAACGCCACATATGGCAGGTCTCCTGTCCACCAAACGCCGACAAAACAGCCGATGGACACGAACACCGAAATAATGAAGTGAGCTAGTCGCCAACGACGCTGAGACCGTTCACGTTGAACATAGGTGTGAATCATGTCGATGATACGGTCGTAGGTGTCTGGCGATAGGGCTGTATTCGGAACCACGGATTGGGGAAGTTTATTGTCTGTCGAGGGGTCCGCTTCGGAGGAACGAGGAGAGCGGTTGATGGTGGCTTCGACGGCGAAATGATCGCTCAGCGAACACCGGAGCGTGGGATGACGCTGTGTCATACCAATATTGACGGACTCAACAGACCATTGGGGCGCAGGGAAGGCGGGCGGATATCCGCCGTCTCCGACGAAAATATAATCCAACCGTTTCCCCCTCGGGCAGGGAGCATCCTTGTCGACAACGACATCCTCCCCCTTCTCTAGCCGCTTGCGTTCCTCCTTAGTCCACCGCCAGGTGTTGAACTTGCCGTCGCATGTGGCGCCGTTCACGCGGAGGTTGAACTCGGCTGACGGGGTTGGCTTGCCTCGTTTCTGTTCGACGGGGTCGAGGGGGGCAGCCACAGAGGAGTCTGGGTATATAGCCTGCCATACATCCTGGACAGGGCTATGGGCGCGGATGAGCTGGTGAGCGAACGACGACGGCACCATATTAAAGTCGCCCAGTCCAATGGCAAGGTGGCCTCTTTCAGCGGCGCCGCGCATCAACTTCGCGATTTCCCAGGCTTGCGCAGTACGATGGCAGATGTACGAATCATTCGGTTCCTTTTCGTAGGGGGCGTGGAGATGCGTGCAGAACACTTCGGCGACGTCACTGGCTCCGGGGCCGAAGCGTACACGGGCACAGGCGACACCCTTCCCGACGTACCAGTCGCCGCGGAAGAAAGCCGTTGGACGTCCATTTAGCGGATACCCGTACATGGAGCTCTCTTCAATGGGCCATTTCGAGAGAATGGCGAGTCCGGCGCCCATCACCCCGCCGAAGTAGAACTTGCCATAGGGGAGGAGGTGACGAGTCTGCTCACGGATGCTCTCGTAGTCTCGTTGTGTCCAGCATTCTTGGAGTCCGACAATTTCGGGTGCAGGCTCTGCCAGGGCCAGCTGGCGGCCGATCTCTGAGAGACGCTCGTGGCGGTATTTGGCGATGTATTTGAGGCCCCAGCAGTTCAGGGTGAAGATGCGGATCTGGGAGGGAGCTTCGGAGGGGTAGACGGTGGATTGAGCTGACATGGTGGTCGCGCGGTATTAAGAAGAAATGATATATATGAATTATTAAAAATTAAGTAGTTTAGACAAGTCAAGATAGATCATATTTGGTGCCTGAGCGATATAATCGAAATGGTTTCATTAGCTTGAACATCGAATAACTTTTGCTGAATGACGCCGACAAACGCAATCAGGGATATTCACCGCCCTGTAACCACCGCCTCTCATTGGCTGGGGATTATTATTCTTCTGGATCTTCGCGATAGATTCATTCAGGCCGATTGTTCCTCCTGCGCCCTTGTTTCTCCTTCAATCTCTCGCGCCCCCTTGGTTCCTCCTGAGTTTCTGATCAGATGGACGGGAATAATCACCGCTCCAAGCGCCGTCGACTGGATCGGTCCCCAAGCCATGGAAATGGCTACATTCAGTCGCCCGTGGAGTCTTCATCGGACGAACTCGCCGCGGGCTCCGATCACGACGAGGCCGAACGGCGTCGCGCAAGTTGGACCTTACAGAAAGCATTACCCCCCAAACGTCCAAATACACGCCTGCGCAGTTTCAGCGGCTCTGAAAGCCCAGATGAGCTGGCAGTAGACGCTGACGTGTATTGGCGCTCCCGCAACCGGGGCCGCAGTTCGTCGCCCTCCGAAGTGAGCGCCGCGGGGCAGTCATCCGAACACTACCAAGACGAAGACGTAGACGCCGACGTGGACGACAATGAATCCCCTGTGGACGGGGATGCAGAGCCTGAGCAAGCATATTCAGATCGGTCGCCTACGCCTGTCCCTCCACCCCCTCCGCCGCCGCCGCCAAAACCGGACAAGATTAATTACCAGCAAAAGTTTCTATTACGAGGTCACTTACGGGGGGTTTCCGCAGTGCGATTCTCGCCTGATTCATCTATGATTGCCAGTGGCGGTGGGTTATGAAATTGCAATTGCATGTTTCCGGGTCGGTTGCTGATCGCTTCTAGGTGCCGACGGGGCTGTCAAGGTGTGGGATACGTTGACCGGAAAGCTGGTGCATACGTTTGAGGGCCATTTGGCAGGAATATCGACAATCTCCTGGAGCCCGGATGGGGCTATCATTGCTTCTGGGTCGGATGACAAGACGATCCGCCTCTGGAATGTGCTGACGGTATGCCTCCTTCCCCTGTCTGACAGCTATTCTCCACTAAGTGTTACCTGCCATATAGGGCAAAGCGCATTCGATCCCCTTCGTCGGCCACCATAATTACGTCTACCAGATTGCCTTCTCGCCAAAGGGCAACATGCTGGTCAGCGGCTCTTACGACGAAGCGGTATTCCTCTGGGACGTGCGCTCCGCTACTGTCATGCGTTCCCTCCCAGCACATTCCGACCCTGTCGGCGGGATCGACGTCGTCTGGGACGGAACCCTCATAGCATCATGCGCCACCGATGGGCTAATTCGAATTTGGGACACGGCAACGGGTCAGTGTCTGCGTACGCTGGTCCATGAGGACAACCCACCGGTCACATCAGTCAAATTCTCACCCAATGGCAAGTTTGTCCTGGCCTGGTCGCTGGACGACTGCGTACGGCTGTGGAATTACGTTGAAGGACGGTGTATCAAGACCTACCAGGGGCATGTCAACCGGAAATACAGTCTGTCGGGTGGTTTTGGAACATACGGAGTGCGTGGAGCGCCGCCCCATGCCTTTGCTGTTAGCGGGAGCGAGGACGGAGCTGTGTTGTGCTGGGATGTAGTGAGCAAGAAGACCTTGCAACGGATTGAAGGGCATACGGGAGTGGTATTGGGCGTTGACACTTGCACGCTGGGCGACAAGCGGTTAATGGTAAGCTGTGGGGTCGACCAGACGGTACGAGTATATGAGGAGGTCGAAGAAGATGGCAAAATGGATACCGATGCGAAAGAATCCCCTCCAGCGACCAACGGCATTGAACCCAATGGAACCGAACCAAATGGCATTCTGCCAAACGGGACAACGCAGAATGGATCAGAAGGACATGATACAAGTGAGCAGCAGGATTCCGGAGATACCCAAGAACCTCAGGATACGGAGATGGCAGATGCTGACACCGGTCCGGAGGGATAAACCTTTTTTTTATTGACTTCTTATTTTTCTACACTGTGTAATTTACCTACTCTACATGGGTCGGCGTTTGGCAGGATATACTGTACTGTATAATAGACGATAGGATCATGACGACTATTGAATTTCACGATACCAAAGACAAGATAGTCTCCGGGTTCTCGTCATACGCAATGCCTTTGATCTACTTAACGAACAGACACACAACTAGGAAATATCACCCACCAGTGTCATCTTTTTTTTTTTTTTTTTTTCCTACACTAGTGGATGAGTTAATCAGACATGTATATAGCATGGAGTTGCAACTTAGGAGTTGAAGAAGCGAAGATCCGGACGTTGAATTACTGCGAAGCTACGAAGTGCAACTATTTAGGAAACTATGAGTTCTCCAGAAGATCGCTTTCTTGCAGCAGATGATGTTCTAGAAATAACCTGACAGGCTATTCCTACAAGACGTGCACCCGTATACCATACTTAGTACCTACAGTTACATTTATGACACCCAATTAGGGTTTTATCTGTCTAGTGATATGCACAGTGATATCTATGAGCTGAAAGAATTTCCCGAAACGCCACTCCAAATGAGAATTGAAGTATCTAGATTGGTTTAGTTGCAAAAGCTGAACTAACTGTATATCGACTAACTGAGTACATGACTCTCATTCTAAACGCCCCGATTCACACCAAGGACTCTTGAACTAGAGTAATAGATTGGAGATGGACCTCTCAGTTGGCCCTGCGGCTGGCTCCCGTCTTGCTGAGATTCTGGCGGAAGAACTGAGTGATCTTGCCAAATGGGATGAGATCCACGCGGTCGTAGAGATCGACATGACCGGCTCTAGGCACCCAGAACAGCTCCTTCGGTTCCGCCGCACGCGCATAAGCATCCTCGCTGAACTCGCGCGAGTGTGCCTGATCACCCGAGATGAAGAGCAACGGACGCGGCGAGATGGTCTCGATATCGTTGAAGGGGTAAAAGTTCATGAACTTGACGTTACTCGAGAGTGTCGGGTGCGTCGTGAGATTTGGCGTCGTGCCCTCAGGCGTGAACTCACCTCGTGGGGTGCGGTAGAAGTCGTAGAACTCGCGTCCGACAGCAGGCGTATCGGCCGTGAGCTCATCCGGGGTGCCGCTGGTGTACTGGACCTCGCCACCGTCTATCTCGGTCCAGCGCTGCTGCGCGGCCCCGGCGATGATCTCCTTGCGCTGTTCGAGGCTTTGCGACTTCTGCAGTCCGTTGCGGTTGGCAGCGCCCATGTCGTACATACTCGAGGTCGCGATGGCCTTGATGCGTGGGTCAATCTTCGCCGCGCTGATCACGAAGCTACCGCTGCCACAGATGCCGAGGGCACCGATGCGCTCGCGATCGACAAAGTCCTGCGTGCCGAGATAGTCGACTGCCGCACTGTATGCCTCGGCGTAGAGGTCTGGCGACACGGCGTTGCGCGGCTTGCCTTCGCTGCTGCCCCAGAAGGAGAGGTCGAGCGAGACCGTGACGAAGCCCTGCTCGGCCAGCTTTGTGGCATAGAGATTCGCGCTCTGCTCCTTCACGGCGCCCATGGGGTGACCGACGACGATGGCTGGCGCGTCGACGCTGCGAGTGAAGTTGTTGCGTATGAAGAGGTTGCCCCCGATTGTCAACCCGTATTGGTTCTCGAAGGTGATCGGCTGGACCGTGACGCTGTCACTGCGGTAGAAGTTGTCGGCTCCGAACGACATGTTCTGGGCCATTACTGACATTGTATTGACGATCGACGTCAGACCAAAAGCGGCGATGCCGCTTCCCATGATCTTCATGATGCTGTTGCTGGGAGTCTGCACACGGAGGTAGTGACTATGAAAGTTTAAAGATGAGCTGCTTCTATCTCAGGCGGCAATTTCGCTGTTCTTATACCCTTGAGATGGATGACAGCCCTCTGCACTGCCATCGCCCAGCAACTGACCTAAACAACTGTTAATGTCATCCACCGGAATGTCCCTACAGGATACTAGTAACCACACCGGAGGCCGCGCGTTGCCAATACCCTTCAGCATGAAGCCATCACCATGCCAAGATAGATGATTGGTAATGATCCCCTCAACTGGTCAAGGTTCTTGATGGAAGAGCCCACTCAACCCGTTGTTGGACAGCATATACTTCGATGTAGATTAAGGTTAGATAGAACAATGTTAGTGGAGCCCCTAATGCAAGTTGCTTATTTGTGGGGCCCGGAAACCGTAGAAACCCTTTGGATTCCGCCCATGAAACCCACATTATCTAACATGTCGATCCGCAACTGCAACTGGCTTACGCACTTGTACAACCATGGGTCGTTGCGAGACGTTCTGGATCTGAAGAACTAGATCAGGTCGCTCTCCGAGACCTTCGGGATTGAGCTCGGCAGTGATGAGGGAGCTCTAGGCAGCACTGTTGATGTCTTGGCTCCTTGGGACTAGACGTCTAGGCATTTCACGATGCTTATTAGAGTACTCTATGAAGTCAATTGTATTCACCTGTCAGATGAATTTCTAACCAGGAATACCCCAATTGGTCTTGTTCCGATGTAGATCCTTCAGAGATCAAAGGGGATTAGAGATTACAATTATATCAATCCGCTTCATTGTAACAGTGGTCCATGAACTCCGGGACAGGAAGAGACAACTTCGATGGAGATAACATATTCACCATTGACAACGATGTAGTGAAGATGTAACCATCTCCACCGGATCTGCATGACCAGTAAATTATCCACCCGAGTACCCGAAAACATTTTCCGAACATTCTGGCGATGATGCTGACTTGGTAAAGTACCGTTGCTTTGTGGTATTCCTGTGGCGTGTGCTCTCTCTCTCTCTCTCTCTCTCTCTCTGTGTGTGTGTGTGTGTGTGCATTACTTTCAAAGTGATATGCTGGAGGTCAGTCCTTCTAGTTTAAGAATCCAGAATGCTATCAACACAAAATAGGCACGGTGCAGGTTAACCTGTCCATCAGAGCTTCTTCATCAGAGATTTCCCAATCTCCCTCGTGGATTATCTATTTATCCAATTTGATACATAACCTATAAGTAATCCAACGGATACTGAAGTATGAGCACTCCAAAGCCAAAAGTCTCCTCACCAGTCGGTCCATACTGACTCACATGGACTTCCTCAAGGAAAGTAATTGTGTGATTATCACAAGATTGGTTGGAATTATCGGTACTTAATAGGTTTTCATAATCTACTTTATTTCTCAGGGATTGGGAAGTTCTCCAATAGACATGAAATATTGTTTCTTCAGACCTCCCAAGTGCCTTCACCTGTAGAGTGAGCAAAGGTATTAGACATATCTAGAACTGAAATTAAGACTACAGATTTATTAATCCAGAACATCAATGTGCGAATTATATCACACACATAAATAGATAGATAGATAGATATAAGTAAAAAATATACGTAGCAGAACACTAGAGAAAAACGAGCTTGGAAGGGTAGCGCATGCCCTAATACTAGTTTATAGTCACCCGTAATTTTTATATATAGCACATAACCCATAACAAAAACAATACACGCAGCCTTCGTTAGTCACACGTCAAAGTGACCATCTATAAAATGAATGAGTACCCATCAACATTTCTCCCTTCATATTTATTATAATCGATAGAATATACAATACATACGCGGCGATAGATGAGTATGTCATCGGATCCCGCTCACCCACATGACGGGCCCGGATCAAGTGATTCCAAATGTCAGGCTGGACTCCAGAGTAGATGATCTGACCAGGTAACATTATTACTCACTCACTTACTACAATTTCGAAGAACACTTATAAAGCAAATACCCCCAGCCAAGCTTAATTTACTAGTATATCTCTGGAAGCTTGTTGCTATCTATACAATCACCGAAGTTTGGGGGTCTACTCGTTAGAACATACTTGGTAACAAGAAGACCGAAAGCAAGACACAGATCAAGATATCTTCAAAACAAACACCAACAGTATACAGACCCATACCAACTCTCTACTCTCTACTTCAACAACCCTACACCAATCCAACGTCACCCAACTCAACCCCATCCACCCAAAGCCAAACCTCGCCATCCAACCTCCCACTACGGGAAGAAAATGTGCTTCCTCGAAGTCGACGAGGGCAAAGGCCCCTGTATCCGAGTCGTTGAATACAGAAATCCGCCTATGCGCGTCTCAGTCCCGCCCCCCTCTCACCGTCGCCGTCGCAGACATAGCAGCAGCAGCAGTAGCTCCAGTTCCAGTTCCAGTTCCAGCAGTAGTGACAGCCACGACCCAACGAGCCTCTGCCCTCCGCGACATTCTCATTCCCATCACTGCGAGTCTCCGCGATCGTCTTATACTACTGTGTCGAGACGGAGGATTCGCACAGTGGAAGAATCGCTTCCGATTTCAAGATGGAAGGGATGGTGGCTTGGGAGTCGGGATTTCTTACCTGAGCGAAGGTGTGTGGAGTATATTGAGCCTGAAGTTAGGGGAGTGAGAGTGAGGGAGAGGGAGAGGGAGAGGGAGAGGAGGAGACCTATGTGGGAGGAGGATGTGGAGTATATTCGGGTATAGAAATTGTTAGATGATCTCGGAGTTGGGAGTTAGGGTTTGGGGTTTTATGGGGGTGCGTTGTTTGGGCTTGAAGATAGTTTGGTCAAAGCGTTTTCTTGGTTCTTCTTCTTCTTTTTCTTCTAATCATTTCTATTCCATTTTCCAGGTTTCTTTCCTGTTGGCCAAACAGATTCGAAATACCAGATGTTCTGCAGGTGCAAATGGTTGTATCCGTGGCTATACTGCCAAATGATCTCATCCCGAACCAAGCACTGATCAGATAAGCTTTAGGAGAAACTCGCCCCCCCAGCCTTACAAAGAGGACTTCTATCCATGGTAACTCTGCTTCGCTTTGTCTGCATTCGGACAATATGACTTCAAAGCTTCCGCTTATCCCGCATGACGTCAGTACTGTTCCCCACGATCGATGCTATCATAAAGTCAAAGTACATGGCGCGGATCCTCCCCTTACATGATGAACATTGGTTCGTACTTTCGAACATTCAATATAATCTAGTTTAGTACTGTTCTCACCTGCGAAATTCTGACTGTGTATATCATTTGCTAAGCTGTATTGTCTGACCCGCGAGGAAGGTGCAATTCTCAATTAGAATATTTTATCAGTAGTTCGACAATCGCATTCCGCCACTTTTTGAAAAAAGTTTTTGTGACTCGTGTTGATTACCTTGTGATTTTGTTTGGTTTCATCCGCAACCATGTACGAGGATCAATGGCAGAACTTAAGTGTTGGGCTAATATGACCTAGGAATCGAAGCCTATCGGTGCGAAGAAGGAATTCGGTTTCTTCGCGGAGCCGCTTCAGCTTCGCGACGCTGCGCGGTATGCAGCAGCCTGAACTGGGCAAGAGGATGAATCGCTTGATTAAGAATGAGAATGCAGCTATCAGTGCTTATGAGAAGGCCGGTCGCGAGCGTGTGTCCACTGCGAAAGAGCTCTCCGACTGGGGGGAGGCCACGGAAGACGACGCCGTATCAGACATCACTGATAAACTGGGTGTGTTACTCGCCGAGATGGGTGATCAGGAGGAGATTTTTGCGGCTTATCTGGAGGAGTATCGGATTGTGCTCAAGCACATTCGCGAAACGCAAAACTCCGTTCAGCCGTCGCGGAACCATCGAGCCAAGATCCAGGACGATATCGCGAAGCTGAAGATAAGGGACCCGGAGAGTATCAGGTTGGAGACACTAGAACAGGAACTTGTGAGAGCGGAAGCGCAGAGCTTGGTTGCTGAGGCTCAGTTGACCAATATGGTTCGTGTCGACTCTAGCTACCTATAATAATTGCGGCATTTGCTAAGTTTTCACCATAGACCAGGGCCAAACTCAAGGAGGCTTTCGACATCCACTTGGCCGCGGTCATTGAGAGAGGTGAAAAGCAGATCTTGCTCGCCCGCCATGCCCGGCGTCTGCTTGGTATCCTCGATGACTCTCCTGTTGTCCCAGGGGAGCCTCGGAAAGACTATGACCGTGGCGATGAGGCGAGTCAGATTATTCAAGATGCCGAGAGGGGTCTCCGCTCCTGGGAGAGTACCACAGTGCCTATCCCGACCTCGGCTGGACACATTCATGATAGCACACTTCTTCCAGCCCCGGCAGCTCGTGCGGCTCGGGATAGCCAAGCACTAACCGTCGGCTCGTCTGAAGTAGATGGCCGTGAGATATCTGCTTCGACTAGGGATATTAATGGCTCGGCTTCAGATGTTCGTTACACTGAGGAATATCTTCCCGAGACTCAAGGCACCAACGAATATGTCCATGAGTATGGCTCTGGGACTCAGGAGGCTGTTGCGCCTGTGATCGAAGCCCAGCAGTACCAAGAGCCTGCAACAGCGCCTGTTGAGCCAACTAGGGATACGTATAGTGGACCTAGTAATGCTATCACTTACATTCCGGGAACTAAGCAACGTGTTGATACCGCCACTGGAGCCGGGGGTTACGGGGAGTCCAGTACGCAGGGGGCTAGGGGCGTATATGGCTCCACTCCCGATGCTACCGGGTATACATCTGGAGCCCAGGACACTATTCCGGGAACAAAAGAACACGTTGGGCCCACCAGTGCAGCTAGAAGCTGGGACGAATCTGCCACAGATGTGTCCGAGGATTTCAATGAAAACGCAGGGAGCGGTAGAAGCATCGATGACTCCATCACAGGTCCGACTCAGCGTTTTGGCGAGCCCTCCACTGAGCTGACGGAAGGAACTGAGGCAACAAAAGTGACAGAGGCTACGGATGATGCCAATGGGTCTATTCGGGAAAAGCTCCAAGAGCAGCCCCAGGCAGCTTTGGGCATCCCTCAAACCGTCGCTGTCCCATATTAAGTTGGTCAATAACGATGTCTCCCCTTGGTTTATTCCCTATGTCGTTTTTGAAGTATTATTATGTATATTAGTATGCGAATAAGAACATTGATTGCAGATCACCAAGAGAATCCCCTCCGAAGGGCTATCTCTTCAATGTAGACTGAGTGAAGATGTTATAGTAGAGATCGATGTATGTATGAAGTATTGAAGGGAAGGGAAGCTGATAAAAGACGATAAGGTCTGAAGTAAGCGATATGGTCACGTGACCCAGGCGGCAGGCGTGACGCGGACGGAGCTACAGCATCATCTGGGAAGCTTCTCTTCCCGCCCAGAAGCTCGACCTCCTCCCATCCCGCCTCCTCTTCATCTACGCTTGTGTATCAGCTACGGCTTGTTGTCACCCTTCCCCAGATCCCGATTTAGATAGCCACCCGTCATGGACAAGTTGGTCGCCCAATATAGCCGCCCGGCCCATCAGAATGAGTTCTATTCCGAACAAGAACAGCATGACCTCACAGAGAACCTTCCTCCCCTCTCTCTGAAATTCAACCTTCCTCCTGTTGACAACGTGAGCTACAACCCAATAAAATCTTTGTATGGTGTCGGTACTCGGAAGAGCGTGGTAGCGATGCTACCGCTTACCTACCCAACGCCGGAAGACCACACATCATATAATATGCCGAAGAAGCGGAGACTCTTGCTAACCCGATCCCTTCGCCTAGTCAAGATCTTGGCTCCGTGCTATGACCGATGATCACTCAAACCCAAGCTGCCCCATTAAACTTGCCCACGGAACGACAACACTGGCCTTCCGATTCCAGGGCGGAATTGTACGCCGTCCTATTGCCTTGTCCCCTCGTTCTCCGCTAACAAGCGGTATCATAGATTGTCGCGACAGACTCTCGAGCCACCGCTGGAAATTGGATTGCCAGTCAGACAGTGAAGAAGGTTATTCCCGTCTCGCGGTTGAGTCGTGGTGAGGATAAGCCGAACAATGCCCCGACTCCCGGTCTGCTAGGTACTATGGCGGGTGGTGCTGCGGTACGTACCCTGTTATGTTTGGGAATCTGGATAGCACTCTATGGATGTACCCTAGGACATTGCGCTAATAACTGGTTGTAGGATTGCCAATACTGGTTGAGATATTTGAGTCAGCAGTGCACACTTCATGGTAAGTTTTAGTATATCATTCTGTGCACCATAGTGCTGAGATGCATTGATACTAACTATTGGTAGAAATCCGCCACAAGCGCCGTATCACCGTTGCAGCCGCTTCCAAGATTCTCGCCAACCTGACATACGCCTACAAGGGATACGGTCTGAGCATGGGAACAATGTTAGCAGGAGTATGTGGCCGTCCCATCATATTATAATCCCTAAGAACAGGTCGAAGCTAATGCATTTCTACTGTGATTAGATGACCCCTCAAGAAGGCCCCGCTCTCTATTACATCGACTCAGACGGCACCCGACTCCCAGGCAACCTGTTCTGTGTTGGATCCGGTCAGACATTCGCCTACGGTGTGCTGGATGCCAATTACCGCTACGACTTGTCTGAGGAGGAGGCTCTTGAACTCGGTCGGAGAAGTATCCTGGCCGCTATGCACCGTGATGCCTACTCTGGTGGTTTCATCAACCTGTACCACGTTAAGGAAGAGGGATGGGTGCACCATGGCTTCGACGACATGAACCCAATCTTCTGGAAGACGAAGTTGGAGAAGGGCGAATTTTCGAATGTTACGTCGGAGTTGTAATGTGTAGTGTCTTAGATGGTTTCTCATGGTGGACATGATATATCAAATTTCTTTTCTTAGGCATACAAGATACTTCCTTCTATGAGTCTGTACCTGTTCGGCGAGCAGCAATGGGGACCCAAATCTTATTGATACCAGTTCAAAGGGTGCGTCCCCTTGTATTACATTTTCTGGAAGAGTTCAGTTGTTGCACTTTGGTACATTCTACTAAAAAGAGAGAGACAAGTATGAAGTTGAAAAGAAAACAATACTATAATGCTATGATATACTAAACAAAAATCTCATCCCAGATAGATAAGTACATACATGGACACATCCAAGAACCAAAATATTGCTAAATACTCCCCGTCTATACAAGCTTTTTTTTTCCCGAGCCAACGTAAAATCTTGTCAGGTTCTTTCATGTCGTGTTTTGCTTTCTTACTTTTGCCCTTGAGATGTAAGATATAATATGCATCTCTCACTTTGAGCGGGGCGATTAGTTATCCACCTTGAACTTCATCCTGATACCCATGGCAGCAAGCTCGACATCCAGGTACCGAAGCACGCCCGGAACAGCAACGACAGTGACGTTATCACCGCCGACGTAGCGCCGGCCATCTCCATCTTCCCAGGTGATGGCACGAGAGTCATCGAAGACAGCTTCACGGGCGCAGCGTCTGCAGCGCACGATGCCAGAGGAGCCGCTGGCCTGAGTAAGCTGGCTAGAAGCAGCCTTTGCGGCTGCGGCGGCTGCGCCCTGGTTGCGGGCTTTTCCGGAGCCACCGGCGAGGGCGACCTGGGTCGAGAGGAAGGAGCCACAGTCGCGGCAGATCCAGGCACGCTGGGTATCGGAGCAGTTCATGAGACGGTCTTGGAGGATGAAGGCGGCACCATGGGCAATGAGGGAGTCACGTTCCATCTCACCGACACGGATACCACCTCCCTTGGCACGACCCTTGACGGGTTGGCCGGTCAAGGAGTTCACGGGACCGGTGGTACGGACTTGGAATTTGTCGTTAACCATGTGACGGAGACGCTGGTAGTGGACGACGCCGATGAAGATATCGGCGGCGAACTCTTTACCGGTGATACCACTGTAGAGTGGTTCGTTGCCGAAGTAGTTGTAGCCTGCCTTACGGAGTTGGTGGCCAAAGTAATCGGCGGCGGTGTTCTCTTCGGAGAATTGGAAGGGCGTCGAGTCCTGGGGATGGCCGTGAAGAGCACCAGCCTTGCCAGCCATTGACTCGATCATCTGAGCGATTGTCATACCTGTTGTCCATCGGTCAGTCGAAAAATATTATAGATGTTTTTCATAATCAAAAATCGGAGACTTACGAGATGGGAAAGCGTGAGGGTTAATGATAAGGTCAGGCTGGATGCCACTCTCGGAGAAGGGCATGTCGACTGCTGGCCAGAGTTGGGAGCAGACACCTTTCTGTCCGTGACGAGAGGAGAACTTATCACCAATGACAGGCTTTCTCGGGATACGGTACTTAACGCTGAGGGATTGGCACGGTTCAATACCGGTCTCGGCACCCATGATACGGATGCTGTCGATGTATCCTTCTTCAGCGTCCTTGTACTTGACGAAATGGGTGATGCCGTCGACATTCACATAGGAGTCGGACGCTGCATCATAACGCACGTTGTGGTATGCAGCGACGAGACTGCCCTCCTTAACCCTAGCGCCAATGTGAGGAAGGCCATCTTCGTCGATGGTGTTACGCCACTCAGCCCTAATCTCACCACCTGGAGCAAAGCCGAACAACTTAGTAATTTCACGTCTGGATTTGTTCCTTCGCGACTCTTTCTCATCGAGGGCATGGACCTTCGTCTTGTAGATTGTACCGTGACCGAATCCACGTTCGTGGGAAGATTTGTTAATAATCATAGCGTCGTCCATGTCATAACCCGTATACGAAATAATAGCAACAACTGCGTTCGTGCCGTTCGGGAAGTTATCCAAACCATAAGCATTGTAAAGAGGGGGGCGCACGATCGGTGTCTGTCCGGTTTGCAGTCGGTAAAGCTTGTTGTCTGTACGATAATCGATGGCTGTTCCGGGCGTTCCCATTGTCTGCTTGCTCATCTGACATTGATACATGTTACGAGGAGACTGGTTATAATCGGAGAAAGGAGTCATGTTGGCCACGATGGAGAGGATGTTTGTCGGTGTAAACTCGATGTGCGTCGAAATACCCGCGACAAGGTCCGATGGTAAACAGGCGATTTCCATGAAGGGTTGCTCGAATGGTCCCACGTAGTCAAGCGTATCGAGAGGCAAGTACTTAACTTCTCTGTACATCCTAGCTGCTTGCGAGAACATGTAAATACCAGGATATTGTCCACCGTTAGAGTTAGGGACATATCCAATCTCCAGCTCTCGAGGGACATTGTGGCTACCCTCAACCTTCCAGTGTCTCAGTGTATCAGCGATCATGCGAGCCTGCTTCGGTGAGCAGAAACCAACGATTCTGCCATCCAACTGAACCGTTACGCTCTCTTCCAGTGAGACCGAGGACTCTGAGCGCACACCGAGCTGAACCAAGAGCCTTGGGAGGTGAGAAACATCGATATCACTGGTGGAAATCAAGCATTTGTGTGCAAGATGGTTAAGTAGACCACAAGGAGATCCATCAGGTGTGTGAACAGGGCACAAGAAACCCCAACTTTCGGGAAGGAGCTTTCGAACAGTGGTGGTTTTCAATTGTGCGAAGAAACTACCTCTGTGTATCATTCGAAAATGACTGATGAACCGGTAGAAATTGATTTTCTCAGCCATGACAGTATAACCGGATGTCTGCTGCAAATCGAGACCTGTGGGACTAACGAGGTTACCAGTCGATAAAAAGTACTCCAGCGCACCACCAATGTTCTCGTTTGACCGCTTCACGACCTTGCTCAGGAAGTCCCTCTCGAATGAAGGGTCAGTGAACTTCGCGCCGTGATTACGCATGCTCCAGTCTCTCAGAATAGGGCCGAAAGACCTGACCCACTCCTCTAGCCTCTCCTTTAGGATCATGCCGTAGAGGAAACCACCAAGCAAGATTTCTTGGTTAGAGACGGCATCGGGGTTGTCAGGGGCACAGTCACCAGCGACGAGGGCGTAAAGTTTCCGAATCATGAACATGATTAACTTGAACTTGTCGTAGTCCTGAGTTTCGGTAACGTTTTGATTACCAAGATGTGGCAATACAACCTTACGAAGAAACTCTGTACCAGCTTCCTCATTAGAAATGTCCATTGGAACACCGAGGACGGGCTTGAACTTCTCTCCCAAGTA